TATGGGTGTGAAAACTGAAAATTTCTATATCGATCTCAACACACCTATCCTTCAATAGAAAACTAATATTTTCTTTTTTTATATTTAGATCCAGACAGATAAAACACAAATAACAAATTATACATCCCATAAAAAAAACTAGTACTTCCTTCTTTTTTTATTTATGTTGAGATCGATCAGATACAAATGGCAAGTTACACACCTTAAAGAGAAAAGAAATATTTTCTTTTTTATGTTTAGATTCATATTGATAAAACACAAATGATAACTTATACACCCAGTAAAAAAACTAATATTTCACTCTTTTTCTATTTATGTTCATATTAATTAGATACTAATGGAACGTTACACACCTTGAAGAGAAAACTGATTTTTTTATATTTAGATCTATACTAATAAAGAAAAAAAATAGTAAGCGGTATGAAAAATGTATTGCTTTCGTCTCCATTTTCTTTGTTCTATTCTCGCTTTTCCAAACAAATTGTTCAGCGGAATCTTCCAGACAGTTCTTATAACGTCTTTCAACGTTTCACAATCTCTTCAGTCGAGATGTAGGCGTGGGGTGTTAGGATGAATGTGAGTGTATTCATGTCGGCTGTGCGTTCAGTGGTGTCTGTGGAGTTCTTCTTTTCACTCACACGCTCACACACACTATGTATGCGATTGCAATGAAGTGAAAGAAAATCTTGAGAACAGTTCCGAACTTTGCTTCAAACAGTGGCGAGTAAAGCTCACACACAGATAATACTCAAATAGATATAGAGCTTTTAGAGGATACGAGTTCATTTAGGTGCTATGTTTGGATAGTGATTTTCTTGTTAATGAACTAAGAATAATAGTCCTATTGTTTAAATGATGTTTTATGGGAAATAGTAATCCGAGTAGTAAGATATGCATTGAGTTACTGATGTTTAGTTCTTGATATGTTCTCTTTTTCTTCAATTTATCGGCTTTTCAATCAGTTGTTCGAAGCAGGTGCTTAGGAGAGAATCAAAAACCTATCAATTGCTTAGACCGTAAAGTTACGAATCGTTTTCTATCAAGCTACAGTATTGTGAATCAGCATTAGAGAAGTAAGAGCACTACGTGGATTGCTTCCTTTTCCTAATATGGAGATGTTAGGAGAATGAAAGAAGCCTACAAATGATTGACTGGCGTATACAATACATTAATGTTAACCATTAAAATATATCGTTTCTTGTTGCATCGAGAATAGTATCCATCTGTACATGACTCCTTCGAGATTTTTGGAAGCAAAGAAACAAAAATTATTGTCGACACAGAAAATTAATGAAATTATTTACATAAGAGACGATCAAAAGGAATAACAGTGAATACATATTGTATGTAAACAAATGAATTCGAGACAATTTATTCGAGAAAATATTTCAACAGGACTAAAAATATGAAAACTACTTAGAATATTTGATATTTATTGGCTAGAAATATTGTCAAAACAACTGAGTTCTCTCAATTGAACTGGAGCTAAATCAATGATGCCATATTTTTTTAGAAATAATATCGAATGCTATTTGACTTCGTCGATCTTAATTGTATAGCACAGCTATTTCATCGAGAAAATTCTCAAGTTCAGACGGAAGTAACGCGATCCAAATTCTGACTCTTCTTGCAGTATTCGTTGGATTATACAATCGAATACCTTATGGTACATTGTGAAGTACATAAGTATAATCAGCAGTGGAAGCGCAGAATTGTGTGCCATTCACTATTAACTGGATTCTGCCATCCAGAATATGAAATAACTATTTATCTTTTATGTGAATATGATGACCAATCCCTTCATTCAAATAATCACCCTCGAACAGAATGGAAGTTTGATTGGTTTAATTTCCACGAATTTAATGTTGAACTACAGAATTTGGAAATGGAAGTGTTGACATTGAGCTAGTCATTTTTACAATAACATAAGTTTTGTTGGTTACTATTCAACAAGTTGTGGCGAATTTCAGAATCTTTGAAGCGAGAGAGGACATGCGAACACAAGAAAAATACTGAAATTTCAAGGAAGACTGGTAAAAAGATGCGTGAAATCGATTCAAAATAGATACGAAAGCTCCGATTGCACCCTTTGGATGGATCGTTGTTCATAAGGAGAAGGCATTATATACTTGATCAAAGAATCCCAAAGTTCACAAAATCCATCAACCTACTAGGTCAATTCTCTTGAACTCTCGACATGCACACTCATACATAGCCACATATATTTATATATTTACATATTTATACAATATATGCATACATATATATAGTGTATACAGTAGCGTGTTAAAGTCTTTGTCCGCAGTATTTCAAGTATTTCTCAGGATGAACATGATTAATATGGAAACGAAATATATGTACAAATAAGACATGATACAAGGTACAAAAGTATTACAATTAGTAGCTGATCATCTCTGCATTCGAATCAATCAATGCTAAATAATGTGCTTGAAAGGATTTGACTGTGTGGTTCAGAATGATCAAATGAAGTTTGTCTTATTCTTTATGCAAAACCTGTCGAATTTATCGAGATTCGATGGTTTTCGTTTCTCGGCACGATGCTCAATGATCGATCAAAGGTTTTTCACTGGGTTAATATCGAGACTGCTCGATGGTCAGTTGATAATTTCGTTCACTTCCTTGTACAAGAATTTCTTTGCCACTGGACCTCTGGTTTTGGGTTCATGGTATTGTCAAAGCTGCAGGTATTGACCGAATTGTGTCGGGTATTACTGATAAGGTTCTTTTGATGAATTTGAACGTAGTAAGAGTCATCCATAATACTCTTGAGCGAATAATGGTTACATAGGCATTTGACACTAAAGTCATTACAACCGATGATCTTTTGTCTGATCTTCGGAACACTCGTGCACTGAGCTTTTAAATTCATTGACCATCGAGTAAAGGTGTTTCCAAACAACAGGTAGCAAATCTCGTCTATGAATGTTCTTTGATTATAATCATCTTTCTGCTTCTGTGTCAATAATGACGTCGCATAGAGCAAAGTACTTGTGTAATCCATTCCTTTGAGGTACAACTTTACCTTTCATCAGAACTAATTTCGATCTCAGTTCTGAAGCAGTTTTGGCAACACTTCTTTCGCTTGCGTCTTATTGTTTCGTCAAATCCGATTCCCAGGTGCCTTGTCGTCATCAGCAGTAATTTGACGACTTCAGCTATTATAACGTCTATTCTCAAGTTTACATTGCTCGTTGATCTCGGCAACATTGTATTTGGACAGTCTGAATGGGGATCTTCATCAGACGAATTATCATTCCAGGAGATCGATGACCATTGTTTTAGTAGTGTTAAATAGTTGATCGCTTCGTTTCCGATGACGTAGAATTTTATTGTCAAGACATTGTCTCCCAACCTAAGAATGTTAAGGACAAAGTTCAGTTTACGAAGCTTTATATAGATCTTTCCTCAACTTCTGAAAAGGTCTCGAAAACAATCTCTTTAGAAACTTTCGAAGATATACATTTAGCAATTGTCATTATGCGAAGAGCAAAGACTTTTGCATTTTATTGTATATACGCATGCATAACACATATGGGTGTGTGTCTCACATGTCAATAAGTAATAGTAGGAAGAAACCAAGAAGGATGTGCGTCAAAAGATTTCTCCCAGAGGGCAAACTTACTTTTGATTCTATAGGTCATTTAATAGAATTGTATGTATTTTGGTCACACATGACGAACGAAGGAAGTGAGACACTTTTTCACACTTATTCACATTGGCGGAAGAAAATAAATAAACTAACCTGAATCTCTATATAAGAAAGATGTTTTTCCAACCGATACCTATGTATACATAATAATAAGCTGAACAATGCAAGACAACCCACGAAAACTCGTTCGTTTTCTGAGTGAACAATATCAGAACTATGGTAAAATGGACGGTATAGCTGATCAGGTTAAACAAGCTGTCGTAGAAAATTTGTTAACACGGGGTAAGAACTTCATTCGTCAAATCTCGGTACAAGCCGAAAAAAAGATTGACCGATTAGAACAAGAAGGACAATTGGTCAATGAAATTTTACGAACACCAATATTCACTAGAGTAAGATCCGTCGATAAGAATACGGATATCAACCATCATACAAATATTATCATTGAACCAGTATCTCAGCATACGATCATTGAAACTGGTATAAAACATGTTGAAATGAAAAGTGGTAGTCAAAGAATACGTTGGAATCTTTTATTTATCTTCTTTTATGGCTTGTCCAGCAGTGTCACATATCCAAGATTTTGGAGATGCCACCACGTCTCCCGCGGGAGATGCCGCATCTCGCGCGAGAGATGTGGGTGTGGGTGTGGGGGATGCGCATCTCTAAAGGAGATCTTACATCTCCAGTGGTGAATGACCACATCTCTCGAGTGTGGGTGTTGCGTCTCCCGCTGGAGACGCGGCATCTCCCATGGGAGATGTGGTGGCATCTCCAAAATTTTGGATATGTGACACTACTCGGCTTGTCGTTCCACTTCCATGTTGGATTCCATTCGTTTCGAACCAAGTTGCCTTATACATAATACCATCGATTCAAGGTGTTATTGTTTTCATGTGGACTAGTAAGACAATTCGAAAATGTTTTCATTCTTCGAAATGATCTATCTAATTTTAATTTTTTAGTCATTGCAATATTAGCCATGAAAAATATCTTCATCCTGTATGCGAATCGCTCGTATAACTATGTGAAAAAGATTACTAGTCTAGAGAAAACACACATTCGTCATATAGTTGCGATCAGTTGTTATAAAGAACCCGTCGAGTTGATTGCAACAAGTATTCAATCCGTGGCCGATCAGACTGAAGTACGACGAATAACCATGGTGATCTCCTTCGAAGAGAAAACACCCGATAAAGAAGAGAAATGTACATACTTAGAGAATAAATTCAAAGATGTTGGCTTTGAGCGAATCATATTTACCATTCATCCATATGGTTTGCCAAATGAAATTCCGGGTAAATGTTCCAATTCAAATTACGGTCTTCGAATGGCTGTTAGTCAAATGAATGTTGCTGACGATGATATGAAAAACATTCTTGTGACCACATGTGATGCTGATTCAAAATTTCCAAGAGATTATATTGCAGCATTGACTTGGAAATATCTAAAAGAGAATCAACCGGCATTAACTACAATCTATCAATCACCTTTGTTTTACAATTGGAAATTGGATAGCTTATCATTTGTCACTCGTGTCACGGGACTTTTGCGAAGTTTATTGATGCTCGGCGCCCTCATTCCATTTAACATCAATACGATGAGTATTTTTTCGTATTCACTCAGTCTAGCAAAAAAAGGCAATTTTATTCATCCAGGATATCAAATGGACGACATAATTTGTCTCATTCGATGGATGGGTGTAACGCAGCAACGTCTTCGAATTTCAATGATTCCTGTACCAGTCGTTAGCGGGCCAACATCAGGTGAAACCATGGAAATCGAAATCATGGAATGGGCAAGACAAGCACGTCGTTGGACGATCGGAGCTGCAGAAGTCTTTCATTATTTTATTATCAAAGCGAATCGTATGCCGAAAATGGCGGCCTTCTCTTGGGGTCTCGTTTTCATCATTTACTATGGAGTTTTGCTCTGTACAGCTGGTTTGTATGGTTTAACATCTATGCTATCCATGATTCTAATCGTCAAGCATGTTCCACCGATGATTGTATATCTCATGTATGGCTTTTTAGGTCTACAAATGCTAACATTTTTGGTTGCATTTATTATTGATGCACTTATTGTTCAATTAATGCATATTTCTCAATGTATTTATATTCGCAATGCATTTCATTTTATATTAACACCGTTTGTACTGTTAGGTTATTCACTGGTGGAATTGTACGCATTACATGAAGTGATTGTATTTGGCAAGAAAGTCTGTAAACATGGAGCATCAAAAAAGAGCGCGTTAAAATAATAACGACATATAATCATGACAGCTAGATAACGTATCTGTTAGCGTTGGTTTCCATAGAAAAGACTCACTTGAAACTATCAATAATTCAACATTCTATTCATAAGTTTTTTATACGACATCATTCAATGATTTAAATTACAAATATATATAAACTTCAAAACTCATGTCATTTGTTTTCATAGTTCTCATTCGATTCCATTTATTACTCACTTTTTTTATCGACGAAAACACTGCACACATAAGATAAAGGATACGTCTGCCTGAAAGCAGTGAGAGAATCTCAAATGTCGAAAGAACTTTTAAAAATACTCAATTTACCTAACTCTGTTCATTTTGATAGTGATATAGCCGATGTGAGTATGACACAAGAGATTTCAAAATTTCTAAACCTCTTCTCCAATGCAAATTTTTAAAACAACCAATACTCGGAGAAACCTCGACAAAAAAGCGCTTCCAAGTAAAATTTTCAGTGCAATTTTTGTGATATTAGTATGTACAATATGATGGATCCATTAATTACCTTAGATGGAGGGTCTGGGTGCCAGTGTAGATGAAGAGAACACTAGTTAGTCATTAAATAGACATTCTCTATATATTTTTTTTCTCAAAAAATTAAAATGATTTAATGTTAATAATCGTCACTGATCTTTGTTGAAATTTTTTCCAGGATTGTTTGAATTCGTTGACGAGTAGGATTTCTTCTTGTCATATCAAGTTGATTCACAACATATGCAAATGAAAGATTTTTTGAAGGCACAGCAAAACCAATACTACCCCCAGCTCCTAAATTTTAATAAGGAAAACGAATGCATGAAAAAGTGTCTTGAAAATTTTTACCAATATGACCAAATATTTTTGATTTAAACATTGGAAATGTTTGATCAAACAGGGTAAATCCCATACCAAATGCTGAATGTGTACCTGTTATAAAATCGAGTTCATCTTTAGGTGTGTTTGATTTCGTTGCTTGATTTAGAATTGTTTCATCCAACAATCGTTTTTGTTTTCCATCGTCCAAATTAATAATTAGAGATGCATACACTCTTGCTAATGATTTAGCACTTGTTATTCCATTTGTTGCTGGTATTTCAGCTTGATGTAGACGAGGATCATTGTACAGTATATAAAAAGCTTTCATTGAATCATTCATTGTTCGAAGATCATCTAAACTTAAAGTAAGTGGTGATACACGATAATCTTGTTCTAATGGTAAACCAATATAAAATTCGATTTGTAATGGATTGGCAATTTCATCTTGAATAAACTGTCCGACAGTTCTCTTCTTTGGATCAACACGTCGTATAAGTTCACCAGTAAGCCATCCATATGTGAGTGCATGATAACTATGAGCAGTTCCAGGTGGCCATAATGGTCGTTGTTGTTCTAATGCATGAATCATTGCTGTCCAATTGAAAATCTGTTCGGATGGGCCTGAAGTAAATGGTAGTCCAGCACGATGTGAGAGAATATCTGCTACTGTTGTATTTTCTTTGCCATTTTGTCCATATTCAGGCCAATATTTTGTAACTAATTCTGAATAATTAAGTAATCCTTTTTGAACACATAATGCAGTAGCAATAGCTACTAAACCTTTGGTGGCTGAAAATACTAACTGTAATGTATTATTATCATAAGGTTTAGTGAACGAACGATCAAACCATCCACCCCATAAATCTACAACTAATCTACCTTGATGATAGATGGCTATAGAAGCACCTAAATCTCGTTGTTCAACGAAATTTTCTTTGAATAAATCACGAACAAATTCCCATTCATTAACAACTATTCCATCAATATTGTAATCGTCATCACCATGATTGGAAGAATATATAGCTGAAATAAGCAAAATCCAAATCCATATAAAGCACCCGACCATTTTGTTTTGTGTCTTTTATAAAATGAAGATCGATAAATAAAAACTCAAGGATTAGTAATACAACTATCTAAATATCAGATTAAGACATATGACACATACTAGGAGGCATTTAGTTATGCAGAACGTAAAAAATTTCGTTTTCAACTTAAGCCCCCTCCCCCCTCAGAAACTAACTTTGTTATTTTTCATCCGATTTCAACCAAAATTTCAGAGAATGTTAGTCTTGACTAGAATAGCTTATGGTTAAAATATCTTCACAAATCTCAAAGAAATGCACAAGTTCTAGTCAATTCATTATCCCTTACGCGGGCAAGGATTTCACAATAAGGATACGAGCTAACAAGTCCGCGCGGTTTCCAAGTTGTAGAGTACCCTTAGGGCTAGGACTTAACAGGATCCGATTTTTGAATTTCCCTTTATTTGATTTTTAAATAACGTTTTTCGAAAAATATTCAAATTCGAGGTGCTAATAGAAATGAACTATCTACGTTTTTTATTTTAGCAAAAGAGAAAATTAAAAATCGGAGCCTGTTAAGTCCTAGCCCTACATGTCTCCTATATAATAAAAAAAAATTATCACTTCCATGTCCAATCGTTATGGAGAAAAACCTGTCCGAATAAACTGCATGACAAAAAAAAACGATTTTGAGAAAAACGAAAAATAAGTTTTTAAAAACCTTATTTTTTCACTGTACTCTACCCGTACACCAGCTGTACTCCAACTGTACTCCAATTTTAAAGTCTCGCTTTTTTCCCCTTGGGTGTGGGTTGTGGGTGTGGGTGGGTATGGGGTGTGGATGGATATGGGGTGTGGATGTGGATAGGTGAGTGTGTGTAGGTGGATATCCTCTCTATTGTCATACCCACACCCACACCCAAGGGGGGAAAAGCGGATTCTGGATCCTCGGATTCTGGTGGATCCTGTAGATCCTGATAGAATCTGATGAATTGTAGAATAAATCATTTGAAGTATGCCAAAAAGAAGGTGGAAACAGCTGAGCCTAATAGATGCAAGAACTCATTAGAGTCCAAAGAAGCTAAATGAAAAAAAGAAAAAAAGTGGCTTCAGAATTTGTGATGAAGAAGAAAAAGCAGATCCAGGACACTGAGATGGGTATGTGTCTCAGTATCTTTTGGCATGTCATGTTCGATTGTGCGCATTTTTAGGACCCATCAGGATCTGCGCTTCCTCCATCGATCTCGTAGTATTTTTATGCGTAGTGGTTTCTGCTACATTCTGGTTGTCTCTGATATTTTGTAACCGATTTTATCGAATTATAGTTAATGGTAACTTATGACATTGATTTTGAGGAATCTAGAAGATTTATGATTGACCTGTTTCAGGCTTTAAAAAATTGATGAAAAGGTTTCATCAAAATTTTAAGCAGTTCCTGCTTAAGGTTCTTTGAAGATATTCGAACCTTGGAATCTCAATAAATTACACTGCATGGTAAGTAAAATACTAACAGCTACAAACAGAAAAGCTACTCAAGATTTCATTGTTTTTTGTTTCAACTCTGACAGAAACACAACAGTTCAAGAACATGCCTGAATGTTATTCTGATATTCATTTGCATCTCTATGAAGGTGAATGGAAGATTCGTGCAAAATCTTAGAAGATTTATCTTCAAATCTTTTTAAGATTTATATTGACTATGGTATGACATTCATGGCATGGAACCCACTTATCTGTTAGATTTTATTGTCATATAATCCTTGAAAACTCATTAAAATGGAGATTTTAATGTCAGTTTAACTGTTACATTAACTTTTCCTTTAAAAAAACTTACAGTAAGAGACGAGTACTTCAATGAAAATTTCTAATGCATTTCGTTCATTCGTGTTAAATTATTTTAAAAAATTACTTTTTCATTCAAACTTAAATGGATAAGTGATAGTAAAATTTCATGATAAATAATCAATGTATTGAGTTTAATATTTAATTATTCGAATATTTCTTGGAATAATATGTGTTTGTACAAAGTGCAAATACAAGTTAATAGTTTAGACAGAATTTAAAATGCCGATGGCTTAAGCGCAATTAAATGTTTTGGTACAGTCTACTGCGGTAAAGTAATCGATTTGTAAAATGTAGACCTAGTGATCAATACTTTGTGCGTTCATTTCTCCTCTTTTCTGCCTAGAAAACCTTGCAAAGATTCCGTCAAGAAATCGGATAACATCGGTGAAGAATTTAAATAAAGTCCTGCGAGATGCAATCAGAATGTATTTTTTCAATTAGATATCATTGAAATACTAACAAAATCCTGACATAAAATTAACGAAAAAGAGCTTGGAATGCTTTTAAGATCTTCTTCTAATCCTAGCCAAATCGTTGTTGCTTCGTGGCTGCACGTTTCTCTAAGGATTTATCACTTCCTTAAAATATTTTTTATTACACTTGTTTTGGTAAACTGCTCAGAACCCAGTGAAAACTGTGTTTTAAATCTTGTTCAAACTATGGAATTCTGTGACTACACGATTTTTTCAAGATTTTGCAGCTTCTTGGATGATTTCCGTTTACGAAACAGTAATAAATTGTTCACGATCTTGATTGAATTCCGATTCAAATCGTCTCAGCATCTTAAAGCTCCGTGGAGACACCTTTTTTCAGATTTTCTTGTTTCCTTAGAAAAAACGGTAAACCTGTGCAGGACCCTTGTGAGATATGTCAGAGAACTGTTCCAAAACATCAGATATTTTCCATAGGGGAAATTCATCATTATTCATTAGAGTCTATTGAGGTTCACAAGAGTTCAGCAGAAACCACCAGGTTTCATAATAATATGAAATAAATATGGAAAACCTGAATATTGAGAGAACCTATTAGATCGTATAAGCCACAGAAACCATCAAGATACATCAAAATTCATCGTTACTCATCTGAGTTTCAATCTCCAGGATTTTATTTCTCTTCCTTGTCAGAAATTTCACGACCAATTCTCTGTCTTTTTACTTAGTATCCAAGGATTCTAATCGATCCACATGAATTCCAGTAGATTCTGGGATACATCAAAGCTCACTCTTTTTTCTTTGTAAATAGACTATTCACAGTTGCAAAAATAGCACCTCAAGATCACATTGATTCATCTAGAACATGGTTTGGATTTATATCCTTCTTTTA